GTTGAAAAAAGTGGCACATTATATACGGAATTTCTGATAGTAGCACATTATGATAGTGTTCAAATTTATTTTCAAAAAATGAAAATAAACACAATATAAGGAAAATGACAGAAACAATTTAAGATGCAAACTAGGCAAAAATCAACATTTTTGAAGCGTAGATTAGATATTTAATCATTTGCAAGAAGCAAAGAGTTCAGATGGAAAAGTGACACATTGCTTCGATATACAAGTATGTGACTTGTGTTCATGCTATTATGTTTCAAATAAAGTTGGATATTTTACTGAGTTTAAACTGGATCGATATCTTTATTCGATGTAATCTAAAACTAGAAAAGACCTGATTAGTTGAATTTTTCCTAGGAAAGTTCAAAGAAAATATCCGTGCATTAGTTAAGGCTAAATTAAAAAAAAATTTCTCGAATTATCAATTAATGAAAATTTCTTCTGCTTTTAAATAAAAATTGGATTAATTTTTTTTGTGTAAGCCAAGTCCAGATAGATACATGAATTGTTGAATAATTATGAATAGTTAGCTATATTATTATTTCTTCAAGCTATTTATCCAGTTCAGCTTAGATTTTGATTATTGCGATGCATACTTATTACTATTATTAGAGTATGTATTCATTCACATATATTTTATATTTTTGAACATATTCTGATGAACGTGATGATCAATTTTGTTTTTCTCAGTTGGAAACTGAGTCATTCTCAATAAGATAAACGTCTTTTTATTGTTATCAAGCACTTTAAAAATTCTACTTAACTGATTATAATGTCCAACAGGCATATTTGACAAAAAATGTTATTTTTTATTCTTGTTTTTTGCTTGTAGACTTCTTCTATTGTATTATCATGCTGATATATTGAGTAGTTCTGTTTTTCAAGTCAACATGTACTCAATAGACAGACACTATTGCCTAATAATGTATAGTCATATATTGTTGTTACGTTATACACGCGCATATTGACGTAAGAAATTCTATTCGATATGTAATTATGAATAGTTGAATGAAATGACCTTTAACTGAACTCAATCTTAATCTTTTGAGTCAATTTACTATATACAATGTAATTAGGTTTCCTTCGGTGATGCATGATAGACTGTGTTAAGGATTAGTGTTTACAATAGTATATAATTTTTAAGAGACTAGACTGCATCATCATTCTGATTTTTAATCAAGAAATAAATCTACATTTAAAGAAAAAAATAAACAAAAATGTTTATAAAAATACAATGTTGCAAAAATATCTGAACTCTTTTTTGTCGTTTTTTAGACAGATTTAAATATAATGACTACTATTCACAGGAGAAAAAAACAGAATAAAAAATAATTGTTTCTTATTTTGGATAAAAGGCATGTAAACGTTGTAGTTCATGTCTTAACATTGCATTTTCCGTTTTTAATTGAAAATTTTCATGTTCAAGAAAACATACTCGATCTTGTATTTGTTGTTCTTTTTGTCGCCTTGCATCTCGACTACGTTTAGCGGATTCATTATTTCGTGCACGTTTTTCAAAATATGTTGCATCTTTTTGTTCTTGAGGTACAGGTCGAACACGTTTTTTTGGTGGAAGTGAATTTGATGAATATTCTGGTGATAATGGTGAAAGTAATGTTGGTGGTAGATCAAGTTGATTTTTTGAATTTAAATTTGATGATGTTTTTATATTTAATGGTGTTGCTGTATTTGTATCATTGTTGTATGATGATGAATTTCTGATATCTGTTAAAATTGTTGATGATGTTGTTATAATAGGTGGTGATAGACTGTTTTCAACACTGTCTCGACTTAGTGGACGTGATGAATTTTTCAAATTGTGAGATAAATCGAGGCCATAATAGGACGATGAATGAAGTGGATTTGAACTATTATTTGAACTAGGACTGGATGAAGATGTATTGTTTCCCAGTGAATCATTTAAATAGCATGGTTGCTGTTGTTGAGCATAGGAACTGGGTTTTCGAAGATAATTCGTCGGAAATACGTATGGATTATACTGATGTGGATGATGCATCATCAAAAAACAACACTTTTTGATTGTATCTATGAAATACAGAGACCTCGTTAGCAGACCTATACAGAATAGAAATACTATACAGAAAAGGACTGTAACATAGACGAATGTTGTCTCAATTCTAAGACATTTTCTATCATTTCATTTGAATAGTGTATGATGATTTGTTTTCAATTCCTTCGTTTTTAACGACATAAGACCGAAGGATCTGCCTGTATTTTCTGTCGTCAGAGAAGAATGTTACTGGTCATCTAGATGCTGATGACAAAATAAACTAACGGATTTGGCAACAATGATCTGAACGATACGGACAATTAAGTGCTCATCTATTAATTTCTCATATCGCTTCTCACATCATTTTCGAATCCTACAAGAATTATTTGCGATTTTTTCAACAGTTTCAATCATAGTCAGTTTGAAATTTTCGATAACTTTTCCACTTTTATCAACTCAATGTTGTTTTAACTATTCCATACTTGAAAAAGAGAGACATCATGAGGCTTTAGTCATTTGCAGAATAACTCTGAACTTTTCAACGTCTGTGTATGTTTCGTTAGTAATAGTACTCTATAACAGTATTTATTACTCTTTACCAAAACACTATAGTGATCAAAAAGATAAATTGAAAGTTCTTGTAAAATACTATAAGAGATCTTACCAGTGGTTTAAATTCAAAGAAATAACTTTAAATTGACGAATAACTTCGAATGGTCAATCGTTTCCGGCCAAGTGACACCAATAAAATGCTATTATAATAGTTACAAAGTTAATTAAAAATATTTAGAAAAATGCAAGAGAAGACAAAAAGAATACAGAAATAAGAGGGAATAGAATCAAACCTGTGATGATAAATATATTTGATCTAAATTATATGCATAATAACAGAGAAAAAATATGCTCATACTTTTTTTGTAGGAATAATTAATTTATTAATTCATACTTACATTTAATTTTTGATTACAAGTTATTACGTCTTACTTACGTGAACGTGCCGTATTTTATTACGTAAGAAACATGTGAGTATGTTTGAGAAAGGGGTTTTGTTATTGTTATGCGATCTTTTGAAAACTGAATACAGTTGCTTGAGTATGGATGAATTCTTATTTGTTCGTTTTAAAAAAAATTTCTTGTTTTTTCCGAGCTCCTCTCTTTTTCTTCCTCCTCTTCTTGACCTATTAGAGTTACTTTTCTATTTATTACGTGAACTGAATAAAAAAAAAAAACCAAAAAAACATTCAAGGTCTTGTATGAACTGTTCAAGTACACACGTATAGACATATCTACCTCTTGTTCTTTTTTTCTGTTCTTCTTCTCCTTTCTATTATGTAAATACGATTACCTATTCACCTATATTCATTGGTCAACCTAATTTTTATATCATGTATGTATAGACACACTTAATCCCAATGACCGTTTGTTCAAGGACGGATTAAATATCATTGGATGATATACATTTTAGATGAATGAGAATAATCTTTCTCTAACGAGACGAAAATATGAAGATTGTACAATTAGAGAAGAGATTTTTTTTCGGAAGTGCTAGACAAAATCTGTTTGGATGAAAAGTGTTCAAATAATGGTTGATAAGCAATAATTATTGATTAAATGTTTATCAATTAGTAGAACTTGCGATTGTCTCAAATATATTTTTCTTTACCAGATAAGCAGTGAGAAGCTTTACACTACATAATCATTAAAGCAAATAAATATTTCTTCGCTAAACAATCAAAATTGATTGAAGTTGATAGAGATTATATGTATTTTTAGACGAATTATTGAATAATAATTGATTAAGGTTTAATAATTGACATATATAGTTTAAAAATGCCATTTAAGTTTCAAAACGAAAAATATAAATAGGTGAAAGAGCCTTTTCAGTCGTGATAATGATTTTATTATATTTTATGCTCTTGGAATATTCAGTATATCATTGACAATATACATTTCCTCTAGTTTTATTTCTGGTAAATATTGAATCGATGGTCATCAAATATTTTCTTGTAGACAGTAGTACGCATACTAACAAATTTATAATAACGGAAACATCATTAGTACATCACCTCCCTCTATTATACGCTATCTGCAGAAAGATGTTCTACGATAGTAGATAGTTTTTTCACTTTATTGTTTGTCAAACATCATCTTTTTTTCAAATGTTGTGAAATATTATTCCATTAAATTAAACATGGAAAAAATTGATTATGTAACAAGTGAAATTTACCGACATAGATGTGAAATGTAAACAAACGAGTGCAGTGATTTCACTGAGACCAGATGGAATTTTATTTTGGAAAGTGATGTCACGTTTAAAGTTGTGAATTGATTGCTCAATCGCTTATGTAAGTCACCATAATATGAACAACGATCGTTTATATTATTTGATGATAAATGCTCTATACATGAAATCAGTTCCAGTTCATTCTATGTCTATCACACCTTTTTTTCGCAGAGAAAAAGAAACTTCAATCGTCAAAGTACTATTTTGATAGTGTCTTTGTCACACAACAATCTCTGAATGATCTTAGAAGGTGAAAAATATCTTTTTTATGTATTTCGTCTTTAAGACTGATGAGTAAGTAACTATAGTGTTGAGCAAAATAATATAGGTTTACGACAGTTTCGTTTATAACATATACATATACAATTGTAATCAGGTAGATTTGTATATTCTAATGTGTTAAATGAGACTGAGTCGTGTGTAGCAATAAATTTATATTGTAGTAATTAAAAAGCAATTTTCTTATACCTTCGAGAGAAATGAAACGAGAAAAGTGAGCGTATGTGCAAGAATTTGTATTAACACGAAAATTAATAATGACGCAAAAGACATTTTGTTCAGCATATGGGGCTTATTGAACCAAAACTCATTAATTGATTCATTGAAAAATTTATTGAGCCGTGACGAAAAACTTTGAAGGAAGTATTTGTATTAGTTGAATTATCAGTCTTCTACGAAAGAACATGATATAAGACTGATACTATCTCCTTTCTTACTTTCGTGTACGTGAAATCTATCTGTTTTCAGCAACAGTAAAATATAAAAACTATATTTTACTAGCCGAGAATTTTTCGGGTTTATTTATGCGTTTAGTCTTTAAATTTTTAATTATGAATTATCAAGTGATTAGTATTCAGACATTAATTAACAACAATTCTTAAAAATCAATTAGAAAAATAATTTTTATGCGAAGAGAAGTTACCAATATTTAAAAAAAGAAGAATAAAGACTAGATAATTTTACTATATATTATATAATAGATCAGTGATCATTTCAGATCTTACGAGTAGTCAAGTCATTTTCGTTTTTGTCAAATTGAAACGTTTGCAAATGCAATATTTGTAGTTTTATGTTTCTCTTCAATTTTACATGAAGTACAATACAGAAAAGGACTGTAACATAGACGAATGTTGTCTCAATTCTAAGACATTTTCAATTTTCGAAAAATTTCTTCCACTAAAACTTGTCGTGGGGAGAAGAAGCATCGAAATCTAAATTTTTTTCATTTTTTTGTCTTAAACCTGCTATTTTCTGCGCCGAACTTTTCATCTGAAAGGCAAATAGTTGCACTTTTCAAGTGAAAAGATTTAAAATTCCTCTTGAACACGTGTAAGATGCGTGTAAGGGGTCTATTTTATGACCGTTAAAACTTATTGAAGCACAGTGATCGTTCTCTTTCTATTCTATGTTCGATTAACGAACATATCAATCACTCTTTGATACACACCTAGTTTTGTCACAAACACTTTTCATTACATTTCTTTATCAAATCGTTCAATTTTTATGTCATTTTCTTTCGACTCGCAAGCGTTCAAGTGTGTATTGACACATTAAGTATATACAGTTGGTTGATCGGCGTTGTCCATCAAATAGACTAGAGAAGACCGAACAACAAAAAATCAGTTATACGTGAGGAAGAAAACAGAACTAAAGTTTCGTTCGAGGTCATTAGGGCATATTGTTGTTATGTTCTGTTCTTTTTTTTCTCTTGACCTTGTTTTGATGAACTGATGATGCATATAGAGCGCGTCTTGTCTCTTTTTCTTCTTTTAGAAAAGAAATTCTAAAATAGATTTTTATCCTCAAAATAGTCGATCATTAACATAAACTCTAATTGTTTATATTTCAATCAAAAATAATAAAAACAACTAATTGATATTATTCAACAGAGATTTTTGTATTGTGATAAGCTCAGAAACAGCATGAACTTAATTACCGGATATTTTTCTTCTCCTATCAATCACAACAATTGGTGTATACCATTTTGGAAAGAAAGAAACTCGGAGAAAAGATATCCGGAACAAATCATTCGTTTTGCTTCATTTTTAGCATAATTAATTAGAATTTTTTATACAAAAGCAAGCACACAAATATCATTATTACTTATAATTTGATATAGGTGAAGCAAAAAAGACTATGTAAATTGAATAGATATGATCCTTCTTGTTTTTTAAGAACCACTAGTGGAATATTTCTTTAGATCGAGTTCTTTAATGATTCGAAGAGATCACCATAGTTATGATACATGTTCAATGGAAGTCCTTACTTATAACAGAAGATTTTATTTTATATTACAGAAAAATGTCGATAAGTAGTAGAACGATGGGAGCAGAATTGATTTCGAGAAAACTTGTCGACCAACACGAAGAGTTGATTAGATATCGAACGTTAGATTTTACCTGCATTGTAGTGTTCTCTCTTCATTTTATCAAACAGTTAACGAGCTACCAAGGGAACATTTCTTGGAAAAGTTCTACTAGACAGAAGTCAATGTCTTTTAATGTTTTTAATTTCATCACCGAAGTAATTATATCATCAACTAGACAGCCGTCTCTCTTGTGATTGATAAATCAACAAAACGCGAAAACGTGTTGAAGTACTATCAAGGCACATAAACTTCTTTCTTCTACCGCTCGTTTTCTGTTCCACTTGATGCCATCTTTATAACAACAAAAAAATTTTGATAAAATCGTTTCATCTATGGTAAATTTATTAAAGAAATGAT